GTGAGTGTGTGAGTGTGTGAGTGTGAGTGTGTGTGAGTGTGAGTGTGTGAGTGTGTGAGANCTGTACACTCAGAATGGTTAAGAGGATAAATTTGTGTTATGCATTTGCTACCACAATAAAAAGCCAGAGACCCTTACAGATTCTTTTTCGTTTTTCAGAGTCATAGCTCTGGGCACGTGGTAGGAGCTCCATCAATACCAGGGGATCCTGGTCCGCGCTCAGCGCTGANGTGTTATGCATTTGCTACCACAATAAAAAGCCAGAGACCCTTACAGATTCTTTTTCGTTTTTCAGAGTCATAGCTCTGGGCACGTGGTAGGAGCTCCATCAATACCAGGGGATCCTGGTCCGCGCTCAGGCGCGCTGGCTGCTGTCCTGTGACTGCCCTCTCTCTAGAACGCTCCCTGCAGTGCCGATGTAACAGCAATCAGACCCGGGTTAACCCTGTCCTCCTGGCAAAAAATGCTGGGATTTTCAGGGAGCTCGGTAGAACCTACGCTTGTTCGGGTGTATGGCGACCAGAGTGGGTGCCTGGTGTTTGCAGGTGAGGAGGGGGACAGGTGGTGTGTGTGGGCGTCAGTGTGTGAGTGTGAGTGTGTGAGTGTGTGTGAGTGTGTGTGTGTGAGTGTGTGTGAGTGTGTGTGAGTGTGTGTGTGAGTGTGTGAGTGTGTGAGTGTGTGTGTGAGTGTGTGAGTGTGTGTGAGTGTGTGAGTGTGTGAGTGTGTGTGAGTGTGTGAGTGTGTAGATAGCGCTGCCCCTCCCCTGTGGGTGTGGGTGGAGATGGGGTACAAGGCCTCCCAGCTAGAAACCAGCAGCCCTGCGCTGGGGAAGGGGGTATTTAGGTCGAGTCTGAGTTGGAGTAAGGTGCACTTCCTTCATCAGCTGAAATAACCTTCAGATGCCGTAAAACACACACCTGCGCTTGTCCGCCCCTTCCTGCCCATCGCCCCTTCCTGCCCATCGCCCCTCGCTGCCCATCGCCCCTGCCTCGGTCTCANACTGCTGTCCTGTGACTGCCCTCTCTCTAGAACGCTCCCTGCAGTGCCGATGTAACAGCAATCAGACGGGTTAACCCTGTCCTCCTGGCAAAAAATGCTGGGATTTTCAGGGAGCTCGGTAGAACCTACGCTTGTTCGGGTGTATGGCGACCAGAGTGGGTGCCTGGTGTTTGCAGGTGAGGAGGGGGACAGGTGGTGTGTGTGTGGGCGTCNTGTTCGGGTGTATGGCGACCAGAGTGGGTGCCTGGTGTTTGCAGGTGAGGAGGGGGACAGGTGGTGTGTGTGGGCGTCAGTGTGTGAGTGTGAGTGTGTGAGTGTGTGTGAGTGTGTGTGTGTGAGTGTGTGTGAGTGTGTGTGAGTGTG